GCTGCCACCACTCTCTTTTTGTATTGTCAGAAATTTATATTGTTTATGGAGGCTGACACACCTCTGTGATAATTAAAAGGCTAATTTGTATGAGAAATGTTTAGATAAATACAAGGTTTCACAATATTTTTGGGGATTAAAGATTTCTGGAAATCTTCCAAATATTGGCAGGAGAATATTGTTACAAGTGGCTTAACAGGTTTTTCTTTCATATGTTTTTATTTTTCGTTTTATATCAAACAGATCTTTGTGTGTATCTTAGATATTATGCTTGAGCAAAATGTTTTTTATGATAAATCTTTTGCAGTATGTTATAGGTGGGAAGGGAGAACATTTGTCATGGACTTTTTCTGTGACCAAAAATACCACTTGTTGCCCAGCAGCCCAACCTGTTTTATTTATTGTGTAAAAATTTACAAGTGGGAAGATGAAATGTCTGAACTAATTTTAATGAATTGTGTTTTGCAGGGATTGGTTTGAAATTGAAAAGCATAATTAAATCTTAATTTGTTTGGTCTGATTATTCTTAAATCAATGTTTGAAAAGAAATCTGAGGTTCGGTCATTGGACTGTTTCTGTAATGGTAGGCACTAGAGAATTGTGCCAGGTCATTATATGCTTTTACAAGGAATAAAAATAGATTTATATCTGTGTTTTTTACTGTTTGTTAGTTGGAAGTAAAAGTCCCTTTAGAAAAATCCACCAGAAATGGGCTGAAAATGTTTGGCAAGTCTATTGAAGAGGGAGACAGTTTCTGTCAGCTATGTTTGATTCATTACGACTTGGGGTTTGTCTTGACCATCTTTCACCAACTTTCATAATTGCATTTTTCTCAGTCGTCACCTTTTGCAATAAATCACTGTCACTAATTGGCTGGCAAACAATGGCCTATCTATTGGGTGGGTATTGGAATGGCAGAAGAGTATTGATTGTAATTTCAGATAATAGGGCAACTGATGAGTCAATTAAATGCTATTGTGTTTCTGATGCAGTGATTCCTTTACCATCAATACATCAGGCTATAGACAGTCTTCCCTCTGCTCTAACAATTGTTACACTCTAGACGCAAAGATTCTTTAACTGTCTACTGGGACAGTCTATTATTGAATGATGTTAATGTATATTATAGGATTTTTATATCAACACCATCAACAGTGAATTATTCTTCTTTTCTTTATAGTTAGCTTCTCAAATTGCCAGTTACAAGTGTTTTTTGCCTCTTCTGCTTCGAAGAAAAATTATTTGATTTTTGTCTCTGATAATGCCTTTTATTGGAAAGAAAATACTTTTTTTCTCTTGTAAGGCAATTTAAATCATTGAGTAAGCGTTATGGCAGTATTTTTAGAAAATTGTACAGAAAGTATTATTGTACAGTATGTATTCTAAAACAACTTTCAGATACTGAATCTACTGGCTTCATTACTTTGTTATTTGTACTATGCATTGTGATTTAATTTGTTTGAAAAGGTTTATAAAACTTTGTCCTGTAATTTCGTTTTGAGAAGTTATGCATTTTTGATAATAAAGAAACTTCTATTTAACAACTAATTAAGATTACAGATATCCAAGGGAAAATTATAAACCTTCAAAATTAAAACTTAAGTATAGTACTTGTAAGAGAGACATAGAGAAATAAATATGGTTTAACGTCCACCCGACACAAACCAGGTCATTTCAGAACTAACAAATGGTTCAATTTTATTTCAATAATCTGCTTGCACATACAAGCTGGAAATCTAAACCATGCCAGCTTACTCAGTGACAGACCTTATGATCTAAAGCGTAGGCATTAAACCATCCAGACACTTAGAGCCCCCCCCCACTCTCTCTCCACAGTACTTGTAAAGCAAATGCGCTTAAAATATTTAATTTCAACTTATGTACTAAGACCAGTAACAGAGCTTAAGATGGTTTATTGATGATTATATAGAGTCTGTTTTGCTTCTGTTTCAAATGATTTGAATAAAACCATTTGTCACAGAATGGCATATATCTGTAGGAGACAGAAGTTCTGTTAACACTATTGATGTTCAATAGATTTAACAATTTTATTACACTAAAGAGATATATAATTTCTTGTGAAGGGGATAAAGTGTTAGGTGTTATGATAAAATCAAATGAATTAAAGAAGTGTTTTGTAATTTAGACAGAAAGATAGAAACAAGTACGAGATCTATTAGGCCAAATTGGACATATTAAACATCAAGGAATGGTAAAGTTAAATTTGATACAAACTTTAAAGTTTACCGAGATCAGAGGTAACTTTTTGATGTGGTATCTCTGGTAAAAAGAGATAGTTTTGTTTGAAATTACACATTGGGTCTAGTTGAACTTGTTTCTATATTTTCATTCTGGTAAAGTGGGGTAAGACAAGGCTGACAACTAACCCTAGTATTGTTTGATATATTCCATCGTTTCTTCAGCTAACAATATTACAACTTTTGATGTTTGACAAGTATGATGAATATAGCTATTTATAGGTAGTTTATTAAGGTGGATTCACAGTTTTTGTGTAATTTCTATTTCTTTGTGACAACGAACCTAATCAACTGTGTCAATTAATTAGTTTTTTATGAAACTGGCCTATGATTTTTAATCCATGCTACAACTGTACTTTATTCACCTCAATAAAATGACATTTCCCTAAAATAAAGGTATACTGGTAAAATATGTGGCCATCATGTTGTGTAAAACAAAATGGCATCTTTTCTGAAGTATTTCTTATTGCTACTTTGAAAACATTTTCATTATTTAAAAGATATTAATTTGTCCCCAGCCTTTCGAAGAAAGCAGGGGACTATTAAAATGTCTGTCTGTCTGTCTGTCTGTCCGTCACACTTATTGGGCAACAATGACTCTCCTTCTAATTGAGCTAGAATGTTCAAACTTGGTGTAGTGGTTTATTAGGTCAATCCCTTGATGGAGTTCTAATTAAGTGAGAGTGATGAAACTTGGTGTATAGTTTCATTACATCAATACCTTGACTAATTTTGATAATGAGCATTTTCTGCTCAGGGTAAGCAGAACGATAAGCAATTTGATTGGTCGAGACTTTGGAACAGAATAACTCTCATTCTAATTGAGTTAGAATGTTCACACTTGGCGTAGGTATCTATTAGGTGAATGCGTTGATGGAGTTCGAAGATGAGAATTTTCTGCTTAGGGTGAGCAGAGATAAGCAATTTGATTGGTTGATGCTTTGGGACATAATAACTTTAGTTCTAATTAAGTGACAGTGAGGACACTTGGTGTATAGCTTTATTACATCAATACTTTGACTAAGTTTGATAATGAACATTTTCTACTCTGGGTGAGCAGAGGGATAAGCAGTTTGATTGGTAAAGACTTTGGAACACAATAACTCTCCTTCTAATTGAGGTAGAATGTTCAAACTTGGTGTAGACGTTCATTAGGTGAATGCCTTGATGGAGTTCGATGATGAACATTGTCTGCTTACGGTAAGCAGAGATAAGCAATCTGATTGGCTGATGCTTTGGGGCACAATAACTTTGGTTATAATAAAGTGAAAGCGATGAAACTCCGCATATAGATTCATTATATCATTACATTGACTAAATTTGATGGTGAGAATTTTCTGCTTAGGCTAAGGAGCAATAAGCAATTTGATTGGTCAAGACTTTGGAACATAACAACTCTGCTTTTAATTGAGGTAGAATGTGTAAACTAATTGATGTAGATGTTCATTAGGTGAATGTCTTGACTGAGTTCAATGATTAACTATTCGAGGTGAAGCTAAGCAGAGCTGATCAATTTCATTGGTCGATGCTTTGGGACAAGATAATCTTGATTCTATCTGATAGAGAGTGATGAAACTTAGTGTATAGTTTGATTGCTTGATACTTTTGAAAAAAATAAATGTGCGATTAATTAATGTGTCATCTATTTATTTTGGGATTTCGGTGGGGGACATCAGCCTCACTGTTGGCTTGTTTACTGACTAATGATGACAGACACACGCCATACAGTGATTGAGATTTTTCCCAGACAGTAGTACTGTGGTCTACTCTTCTATCGAATTTTAACTGTCAAGGGTTCTGTTAGGTGCATGCCAATTTGTACACAGGACCTTGGTGTTTTGTCCCTTCTGAACGACTAATTTGTACCATGCCAGGCTCTCAGTCCTGCACCACTTCTCCAGGTTAGTGAGCCAATAGCTTACTCACTGAGCCGTCATGGCTTCCTGAAAGGACAATATTGGTGTCCGTCATTATCACATGTGATAGAAATGGTTAAACACATTCCAAATATAATTTTAACACAGAGATCATTGGTACGATAGATGAGTAATAAAGGTTTCAACAATCGGAAGTGACGAATGCAAAAGGAAAACACCAGTTATCCCTCTATATAACTGACTGAAGTGACCAGTGATAACAGATACATGGGCGAATTTTTGCTCACTAATAATTCCTTCGAAGACCAAAAGTTGTTATATGAGACTGTAAGAGGATATTGGACAATTTAATAAAGTAATTGAATGTCATTAGATAAGAGAACACGAGAACAATAGAAATAATAGAAATAGTCTGTACATTCCCTTGTTTTTATTCATTCTATACCTTATAAAAACATGGTAATGCACAGACTTTTTCTATTTTTCTTTCGTGTTCTCTTATCTATTGGCAGTCAATTCTTTTTATGAATTGTCAGATATCTTTTCACAGTCTCACACAACAACTTTTGGTCTTTAAAGGAATTATTAGTGAGCAGAAATTCGCCCATATATCTGTTATCACTCGTCACTTCAGTCAGTTATACAAAGGAATAACTCATGTTTTCCTTTTGCATCCGTCACTTCCGATTGTTGAAACCTTTATTACGCATCTATCGTAGCAATGATCTCTGTGTTAAAATTATATTTGGAACATGTTTAACCAGTTCTATCACATGTGATAATGACTGACATCAATATTGTCCTTTAACATTATGAATATGAATAGATATATAATAAAAAAAACAATATTGTAACTTATTTTCAGGTGTAACAAGACTCAATATACTGTTTATTGTTATATTTGATGTTTAAAAGAAAACAAGAAAAGAATGAAGATTTACTTTCTGGTATGTACAATTTGATTTTCACAATGATTATAATCAGGGGCGGATTGGGGCCGGGCCCCTTTTACTGTCCCCCCGTGAAAATTTTGAGAAATGAACCCCAAATATGCGATTTGGTGGCATATCTGATTATAATCTCTGTCAAATAATATATCTCCTAAATCGATTAATTTAGGTCAAAACCCCGACCTGCAAGTAATTTACCTGGTTAAAATATGGGACTAGTTGAGAAATTTTTGACCAGTTATGAATATTGAATAAGTAGGAATAATTTCATTGAAAAATGTCCCATTTTTGTTGCCGGGGTCGGGTGAATCCGATGAAATTTTCGGATGAAATTCGAAATCCCCATTGCGGGATTCCGAATTCCGGCCCACACTCAGTACACCCGACCCAGAAAGTCTATTATACCAGCCCATTCCAGACTTCAGTGATGGCGTGGTGGCCCGTTAAAGCCACCAGGCACATATAACATGATCATCATCGCGCCATGGCCCGTCCCATACCCCCCCCCCCCCCATATAATGTTCAGCAAAAAAAGGTTTTTTAGACGAATTGGGCAAAATTATTTTTTTCATTTTTGCCCGATGGCCCAATCTGCCCCTGATTATATTAGTGCCCAGAATTTATTAATTTTATTCAAAAATTTTAATCTGCCATAAATGGTTTAGGTTTGGTAGCTGGCAAAAAAAAAACTCAACCCAAAACACATCAGATAGTGGAATGAAAAAATATCTTATTGTTAAAATACCTTACTACTTCAAACTAAAAGATGTTTAAGGGAAATCACATTCTGATTTTGAGAAGAATTTAATGTTCTAATTCAGCATTTTTATCACCTGCATCATTTCACCTTTAAATGAATATAACCGATGGCATACTAAAGTTGAGTACCAGCTGAACTAATTTCTACACTTACAAACGATAGCTTAGATGTGACATATAAGCGTTAAAAAAGTTAAATTTGTCTGGTGGCTTTGTTGACAGGTACTGTGTGCTAATGTATTGTGATAATTGTTGCAGTACAAATATGTTTTCTTTGGCGTTCCTCAGTGCCGAGAAATTCAGCTATAAGATAACTGAAGTTACTAGGAAGTTATTGGCCTATAGTCACTGGGGGCAAACGCTCATCAACTTTACCTTTTGTTTAGGTGTTCTAATGAGTTGGAGGACTTGGTTGTTTACATAATGGGTATGTCCCTTGTTGTTTGACCTCATATTTCACTGTGAGCCACACATTAAGGAGGTGAAGCTGACTTTTTTTGGCCTTATCGTCTTTGCTTAGTCATTTATATTGTCATTTACATGTCTCAAAATGAGTAGTTCAGCTCTAGTAACGCAAACTATCAAGTTAAAAATAACATCAAGGGGCAACCTCTTGATGTTCCACACAGCTTTGAAGATGTTAATGCATTGTTTTCAGATGAAAACAAGTTATTTTATTATCCTCTCTTGTCATTTAGTTGCTGAGTGATGATCTAATGGTCTAGTGTTTAATTTGCAATGCACTAGGTTTCTTTAAAACCATACCAAGTAGAATGTCAAATGTCACAAAATTCTCATTTCTTTGAACTTTAAAGATACTGTCAAATGCATAACCCTTGTAGGAGGCAGAACGAGATGATTTATGATCATTCGTTTTTTTCTGTAATTTATTACATGGAAATACTAATAAAGAAAATATTATAACTAATAGAAACCATTATAACATCCTTATGGTTTTGTATAGGATAAAAATCTGTAGAATTGACACATTTCCTTTAAAAAAAAATCAATTTTTAGTTAACCTTTGCACTGAAGTCATCATCTGATTACCAATTTACCAGGAACACCTCTACACTATGAACTATCATGTTTGTCCCTTCATCATGTGTTGCTTTAATAAGATACTTGTGGAATTCGTTATGTTCAGCAATACACAATCATTCTTGAGAAAAAAATAACAAAAGGCAGCTACCATTTGGCTTTAAGATTGTGTCATAACCAGAAATTGAACCACCCAACTTGAAACAGAATGTTTGAAATGCCAAATGTATGGTTTATTCATTTTGAAGTTGCTATGATATTGTAGTGGTTCTCATTGTTTCATTGTGAATATAGAAACTGTAAAAGGGCAGGAAACAAGAGGCGATAGTTTCAGTAATATGGAGTGGAAGTAAATGAGTCTAAATAAATTCCATATGGTTCCAATAAGAGTTGTGTTATTGTAGTAGAATTATAATGGATAAAGCCTGCAGAACAGTTAGGGGTCCTTTAATATAATGGTTCTTGTTTATTTAAGTTCACCAAATTATCATAATGAGGTTTAAAGACAATATCCGGCATTCTGTTTCAAGTGTTAGCGCTATCAAAATTTTGTATCTGTTTTCTGGTAGTAAGATGAATGGCTTATACTTACAATCGTTGTCTTGTTATGCTTTCTTTTATATTTCTTTAATGAATTATGTTTTATATTGGTTTGCTACTTGTTCAAACTATTAAACTCTGGTATAATAGCTGTCTGTCGTTTCTGGTTACCTTTGTGCTAGAGTGCCTAGGCAAAGTGATTAGTTGTTTGGATATGATAAATGATATGATTACTATGCTAGAGTGTCTTGGAAAAGTGACTAGTTGTTTGGATAGGATGACTCAAATTAACCAGATTTCACAAATACTGAATCTTTAAGACTCAAATATTGTATAAGTACATTTAATAAGAGGATAGATTTGCCATGTCTTTGACAAATAATGAAAAAAATATGATACACTGAGATATTAATTTAAAAGGTTAAAATATATATATACTCATATTATCAGTAACATTTCTATATAGTGCCATTCTATTTTATTATCATCTCTGTTTCTTTTCTTTCTTTTTTTATTTGAGTAGGTTGTAAATCAAATTTTCACTCAAAGTATGTATGATGTTTCAGATAGAAAAGTGCCATATTGTTGTAATCTAACTGTGTATTATTGAGCCAACTTATCTTACCCCTTTTGGTTTTATATTAGTGAAGCTTTGGGGGATAAAAGGACTCCCCAGTGGTAGGCTGATAATGCTAATGCCAGACTAAGTGCTATCACATTTAAAGGATACATGACCTAATGTTTTCATGATGAACTTATGACCAGCAGTTCATATACTTACAATCATTTCGATCTACTTATTTTTGGTTGTTATTTTTCCAACTGTTGTTCTCAGTGATTGTTAGCATACACATATTTTTATTGTCACTTAATATTTTCAAGTTTTTATGGAGATATTCCAAAATGAAAGGGAATATGTAGTTTGGAAGTTCAAGTATTGAAATTTAAAATTAAAACAGAACTGTTAGTTATGTGAACTTCTCAAATAAATGAGACATTGTAGCAGGGGTTCAGGAAATAGTAAGTATACCTTGTCTGACACACAACCCATATCACTACTTACAGTTAAATAGAGCTATAGGTTAGATTTTGATTTCAGAAAACTAAGGTACTGAATAGAAGGTAACCAGACAATATCTCCAGCCATTATTGTTGAGCGAGTCTGCAGCTAAATAAAATGGCATGGTCAGTTTTTTTATTGTTCAAGAATCTCATAAATGAACAACTGAATGCCACTCAGAAAAAAAAGGCCAAGTGGGAGACAAACATTACTCCCAGGAACAGGCTACTATAAACTATCTCTGTAGGAATTGTTAAGACAAAGGCAGGCTTTTATCAGCAAGTGGAATTGGTTTATTCCTCCTGATTACATAGGATAAGGAATTGTTTATGATTTGAGCACAAAAGGCTGGCATTGTTTAGATTTTCGGTATTTATAATAGATTAATCTCACTGTTGTAAATGGGTTTGCATTGACAGACAGACTGGACCATTTGATAGACAAAGACTTATTATTTTAAACATATAAACACATTGTTCAGCTGATATTTCTTGTCAGACAAATCTGTATTGACTGCTTGTTCGAATTGTGAGAAAATATGTTTCCCAATAAGACTATATCTTCTAAAGACATAACTTTAATTCACCTCACCATGGTTAAGTTAAATATTTGTTATTGAAACATCTGTAAGCTTTTTATAAAAGAAGTGTTATTTAACATGTATTTTTTGTTGACAGAAATCTGGTTGAAAAAATCTGAAGGGAAAAAAATGATCTGAAATTTACATCTATCTTGCACAATGATGTGATTTCCGTTTTTGTCATGAAACTGAAAATGTCTCCTGAATCTGTTTCCAGTTTGAATTTTACAAAAAGTGTAGCCATTTCTTTTATATCTAAAGCTTAGACTATCCATTATTTATGATGAATTTGGACCAAAATTGTTTTGGGACATATTAGAGAGTTTCTATTGGTATAAATTGTAAGGATTACACTGACGCAAAGGAATGGAAGTTAGATGAAAGAGAAAGAGGAGAATGATGTCTGTGATTTTAGATGTTTTTTGCATGGTTAGGTTTCAGTGAATATAATAAAAGAAAAGAATTAATGGTCATGGCATAAAACAGCTTATTTTCTTTCTTTAAGCAGCCTTTTAGAATTAACGAAGAAAAGTGTAAAATGTAATTTTGGTAATCATTAATTAGTAGCACAGCTAAGGTGCTAAGAGTCATTTGTAACCAGTAATTTTATACTTCACTGCAGACATACGGTATTTTAATAAATTTATTCTCCTCTGTTATCACAATTTGAGGACGTGAAAATCAAAGAGGCCATTGCCGGATAATTTTCGCTAAAGAGCCTTCATTTGTTCAGCTATTTGAAATAATACTCAAAGAAACCAATGCCGTTTGTATTGAGGCATAGTTAAATAATTCTAAGAAAAGGATCATTTGTTAAAGGGAAGACCTGAATCAGAATCACTGGGTTTCTTGATGATTTGTGATTAGCTGAACAAAATCTGGGCATAATTTTTTAAAATGACAAGTTGCCTGTACCTCCGGTCAATTCCATTGTATCTAATTTACGTCTGTCTTTGGTCTTTGAAAAGAAAGGCTGATTGTGGACTAATGTTGAAATCATTAAGACAGGTTATTACT